GTGCATTTTCAGGTTCCCCCACTGCTGGTGTGTTGACTTTTTTGACATAGTGGTGCTGGCAGATTTACGGGCCTCCTATAGATGCTGCAAGGCCCCTAATCTGCCATTAGGCCCCTATATTACCGCTTCCTCATGCTGCTGCCAAGGTCCAGACTGATCCTCTCATGGGTCCTGCTGTACGGCCTCCATTTGTGCTGTCTCCATCGCACAACTCTGCCATGTGCCACTTTCCAGGTCTTCTCCTCACACACTGCTGGTGTGTTTGAATTTTTTGACATAGGCTGCTTGGATGGCTGGGGCTTACGGGCCTACCATTGCTTGCTGCCAGGCTCGTTATTCTGCCATTGGGCCACCCGTTACCGCCTCCTCATGTGTGCTTGCCAGGTCCAGAGTTTTCTCATGGGTCCCTGTTACGGCCTCCCAATGCTGCTGTCTCCATCGGCCCACACTATGCATTGTGACCACTTTCAGGTCTACCTCACACTCTGCTGGTGTGTTCCCAATTTTTTGTCATAGGGTGCTGGAGATTACGGGCCTCCATTGCTGCCTGCCAAGGCCCTGTAATCTGCCATGGGCCCCCGTACCGCGCTGCTTGGTCACGCTGCTGCTGGGTCCACAGTGTGACATGGGTCCCTGTACCGCCTCCCATTGCTCCCACTCTGCCATGTGCCACTTTCAGGTCTCCTCACACTCCTGCTGGTTTCCATTTTGTCATAGGTTGCTGGCAGATTACAGGCCTCCATAGGTGCTGCCAGGCCCCAAATCTGCCATGGGGCCCCCGTACCGCCTCGTCACGCTGCTGCTGGGTCCACAGTGTGACATGGGTCCCTGTACCGCCTCCCATTGCTCCCACTCTGCCATGTGCCACTTTGAGGTCTCCTCACACTCTGCTGGTTTCCATTTTGTCATAGGTTGCTGTATGGCCTCCCATTGCTGCTGCCTCCACGCCCACTGTGGCTCCACACTCTGGTTTTGGCCCCGTGACTGCCCAAATGAGTGAAGTGTGCGGTGATTCTAAGATCGACGGCACTCATCTGCATGTCATACTGACTGACAGTATTATTTCTCTTCCACAGCAGACTCCAAGGGCATTTAAATTAAAGGTACAGTGTTCTGCACTAATATTAAGTCTCTCTGAAAGCCTACGAAACACCCTTTTTTAAGTTAAATTCACAGCGAATATATTCGACTCGAATCGAATATTGTCCACACGAATTCGCCGAATCAGTCGAATCGAATTTTTGAATACTTCGCTCATCTCTAATAAATAAAGTACAAATGATTTTACTACTATGTGTTTGAAATTTCTTTGCCTCTAAAGTCCCATTTGCAGCTTCTCCCTCGTTTCCTTCCCTTCAATTTCTTAGACAAAGTTGTCACCTATATTATATATTGTTCATACATGGGTATATGTGGAATAACACCCCAAAACACATTTTGCTACTTCTCCTGGGAGTATGGGATACAACATGATTTTGGCAGATTAGCCACATACAGGCCCCCAAAATCCAATGATCGATCACCTTCAGGCTTTCAAGGGGCATATTTCCTCATGTCACTTCTCACTACCTATCACATAAATATCATTTTACACACAGTTTTCAGAGGCCCTAAAAATGCCAGGAAAGTACAACCCCTTGTGCTTTGACCCCTTTTTGGAAAATAGACACGCCAAGGAATTTGATAAGAGGCATGGTTAGTATTTTGCAGATATCATTTTTTGTCACAAGGTTTTGAAAAAGAAAAAGTAAAATTTCATTTTCATTTTCTTCATTTTCCAAAAACTTGTGGCAACAAATGAAATCTGAAAAAATACTAACCATGCCCCTTAGGGAATGCCTTGGAGTGTCTACTTTCCAAAAAACGGTCATTTGGGGCGTGGGGGGGGGGGGTTGCTTCTGCTATCCTGGCATTTCAGGGCCAACATTAGAAGCGTTCTCTGACAGCTTGTGAGAAGCTGCAGAGTTTCTCTCCCTCGATCAGCTCCCCCCTCCCTCCCCCCGTCCAGTACACACCCCCGCCCCCTAGTAAAACACTCCCCTTACACAGCAAATTCTAAAAATGTTAACCCCTTCCTCCCCAGTGACATTAGTACAGTTTCAGTGTTTTTTTTTTCACTGATCACTGTATTGGTGTCACTGGGGATGTCAGTGACCCCAAGTCAGTTCCCCCCCAGTGTCAAAATGTCCATCGCAGTCCAGCAGTCCTGCCATAAGTCGCCGTCATATGTCGCTGATTGCCGCCATATGTTGCTGATCGGCGCCATTATTAGTATAAATAAAAATTTAAAATTCCATTATCTTTCCTGCCATTTGTAAACGCTATAACTTTCACGTAAACCAATTAATTTATTGAGATTTTTTTTAGCAAAGACATGTCGCAGAATGCATTTTGGCAGAAATTTATGACTAAATTTGATTTTTGCATTTTTTTTTACTGGACATGTTTTATAGCAAAAAGTCCAAAATATTGTTTTTTTTTCCTCAAAATTGTCAGCCTTTTTTTTTATAGCGCAAAAAATAAAAAAACCGCACAGGCGATCAAATACCACCGAAAGAAAGCTCAATTTGTGGGGAAAAAAAAGGATGTAAAATTTCATTTATGTACCGTATTGCATGACCGCACAATTGTCCGTTAAACTAGCGCAGTGCTGTATAGCAGAAAAATGGCGTAAATTGCAGTATTTATACCATAGTTTGTAGACGCTATAACTTCCACACAAAGCAATCAATATACACTTATTGGGATTTTTTTTACCAAAAACATGGAGCAGAATACATTTTGGCTTAAATTTATAACCAACTTTGAGTTTACTATATATTTTTTATAGCTGAAAGTAAAAAATATTGTTTTTCTTCAAAATTTTTGGCCTTTTTTTGTTTATAGCTTGAAAAATAAAAAGCGCACAGGTGATCAAATTACACTGAAAGAAAGCTCTTTTTGTGTGAAAAAGAGGACGTAAATTTTGTTTGGGTGCAGCACTGCATGACCGCGCAATTATCAGTTGAATTAGTGCAGCGCCGAGTAGCAAAAAGAGGCCTGGTCATTAAGGGGGTTAAATCCTCAGGAGCTCAAGTGGTTAAGTGTAAAAAAAAAATTTTTTGCTAGAAAATTACTTTGACCCTCCAAACATTATAAATTATTTAAAGTAGAGGCCCTACAGAATAAAACAGAGGGTGTTGCAATTGTTTATGTCACACAGTATTTGTGCAGTGATTTTTCAAATGCAAATTTTTTGGAACAAATATATTTGTTTGCATTTTAATGCACAAAAACACAATATATTGCCCAATTGTTTCATAAAATGTAAAAGATGATGTTATGTCGAGTAAGTAGAAACCAAACATAACATGCTTTAAAATTGCGCACACCCGTATATAACAGCGTCAAACTACGTAAATTTTTAATATCCATAGGTGACGCTTTAAAAGCCTTTAGAGGTTACTACTTTAGATTTATACAGGTCTTGTACTAGAATTACTGCCCATGATCTAGCGTTCGTGTTGATACCTCACATGCATGATGCAATCTCTGCTGACTTACCGACATGGGACTGACGCTTGTGTTTGTTTGATTGTGAGCATGGGAATGGTGATTTTGTAAAAAAAAAAAAAATTATTTAGCTTTTATTGTTATCGCAGGGAATGTAAATATCCCCTGTGATAGCAATAAGCAGTAACAGGTACTCTTTTCTGAGAAATCTTCGGTTTATTAGACACTAGATCTCTCCTCTGCCCTTAAAGCATCTGATTACACCAAGATCAGATGATTTCCCAGTTTAAAAATGTTACTTTTTATATCCTGTGAAACTGCTCATTGCTTCCAGTTTCTTAAACTATAGAGATGATTGGAGCCATTACTGTTTCCAATCAGTTCTATGGTCACCTGGCAGAACCATTATATTTATTCTCGGGTTCCCCGGTGGGGTGGGAGAGCCTGAAAAAAACCATGGAAGGTGGTGGTGAGGGGGCATTCCTTCCTGCTGCTTGTAAAAGCAATCCAGCGTCTAATTAGCTGCTAGGATTGCTTTTACATAAAAGCTGACTTCCAGCTGAAAAAAAATTATACTAGAACTATGCCTGCCGCTGCAGGTATCATTCTGGTACGACCAATAAAATCCAGCAACGTACCAGTATGTTGCTGGTCCTTGTTGGGCATACTGTATATGTAATGTTCTTTTTTTTTTTTTGAGAGTGTTATCACTGAAATGCATGAAGTGCATTATCGTCTCATATCTATGCCTGGCCATGGCAGCAGAGAACATGGGCATATGATGAATCGGGTCTGTGGACCAATATGACTGCAATGCATTCTTTTTTGCACTGCCCATGTTGAGGGTTCAGCCCAAAAAAATTTTAATTTTGGAAATCGTGATAGGTTTCCATACAAATTGTCTGGCAAGAGCTGAATTTGGGTGGGCAACGATATATTGTTGTGTGTATAAATTGCTTTGGCCCACAATCAATTGCTACAAATCTTCCATGAGAAACAGCAGAGGGGCTAAACGCTAGTGCTGGCAAAGAACAGGGCTGATTCTGCTAACACTGCATTTTTTGGGGACACTATACAAAGGAGACACTTGTATAGTTCTGTTTGTGATCAATATATTGATCCATACAAACGCTATGCTAGTAATGGTGGTGATCAGCGACCTATAGCATGACTGCAATAGTATGTGGGCAGTCTAACACTAGCTGACCCTGGCTACGAAGGGCGCTAACTGACCCTGACACTATCTGATATCGCTAGTGACAATAATGCAGTGATCAGTGAAAAATGATATATACTGACACTGTACTAACTGTACTGGCTGGGTGACAGGGTTGATGAAAGGGTTAATAGGGGTGATCAAAATGATTAAATGTGCTAATCTAACGTGTGTGTGTGTAAAATGTAGTCCTTTTACTCACAGTGTGGTGTTCTCTCTTCTCTTCCTGAAACGACCGGGGGGCAGCGGGGAGGTGCGCACACGCACTCACACCCAGAAATAGAAAGCGACAAAAGGGTATATCGCTTTGCTCAGAGACGCTGCTTGCCCGCACATGGCCGGTGGGTGGTCGGCAAGTAGTTAAATTGATTAAAAAAATGTTAATAATGAAAAAAAAAAGTCTCTATTTAATTTTTACATTGATTTATATTATCTAAATATAAATTACATTTGTTTATATTAACATTATTTTGTATTTATGTAACTATTTAAAGAAAAAAAATATTTTCATCAGAGTAGTTCAATGTTACCATAGTATCATTGAACTACTCTGGGGGGGGGAAGTGATAGGGGATTTTTTTCTCTTTTACACTTTACATTGCAGGTGCAATAAAGATCATTACACCTGTATGCAATGCTTGCTTTGAACTGTCATGAATGGGTTCAATTCATGACAGTTCAAAATACTAGTGATCTGTGATTAGCTACAGCTAATCCCATGTTATAGCATGCTGTGATTGGCCCATGTGCTATGTGACAGCTGTGGGACAATCACAGCTCACTAGAAAGGGAAGCAAAGCTGTTATGAAAGCTGATACTGATTACACTGTTCAACAGGTAAGAAGTTTTGGGCATAAAATTAGCTAATCTTACATAATTTTGGGGTGCTGAAAAACGAAAATGACCCTAAAAAATGTTGATTGGCTCTAGTTTCCATGATATATTCACCCATCTAATGATGTAAGCCATTCAAAATTATGATGCAACTTCAGCTGCATATTGCG